GGAAAAAGACCCCAACCGTCTATCAGTAATGCTGGCTATAGCACTGAGACACATAAAAATACCCAGTCGCACCAGTCAAACCAAAACGGTCTTAAAGGTGATCACAAACGTGCGAGGACCGAGCCCAAGCCCACGGTTAGTAGATCAAATTGTGTAATCCTCTTTAATGTACCAGACTGTAGCAGTAGTCTGCTGAAAGATAGGGCCCTATTTGATCAGGAACAGTGGTCCATCTTGAGTAGCACACTGGGTTTGGACATCCAACCAGTAAATCTATGCAGATTGTATAGGGGCACTGCTGCACCTGAAGGCAAACCATCCCCACTGAGGGTAACATTGGGCTCTACCGAGGATGTTGAAAAAGTGTTACTGGCTTCTCAAGTCCTTTCTATAGGGAGGGCCTGTAACATACGTGTTAAGCCAGACAGGCCGTGGAAGGAAAGACAAATGGCGAGGGAGTCGCCAGAGCTCATTCCTTCTGCCTCCATGGTTGTGCATGGCATTCCCGAACTGGTAACTGGGAACGCCTGCGAAAAGCATTGTCATGATGTACAACAATGGAGATGGTTAGCATCCCAGATGGCCCTGGGAGTTCAGGGGCTGTCTCTATTTATAGACTGCCTCGACCCACTCATCTTATGTCAATTAACTCGCCACGTCTGTTAGCTGTCAAGTTCAGCTCCCAAGACCAGTTGACTACCGCTCTCCATAGATGGTACGAGACCAAGGACAAGGTCAGCAAACACATTCGCTGCTGCGAGAGCCGGCCTCGCACTCAAAGGAGAGAACAAAGCGTAAAATCCTCAACCCCTAGTCACACTACAGCGGTGCAGCACGGACGATGATAGCCAGTGTCATCCGAGTGCTCCAACTGAACTAGAAGAAAAAAACGCCAACAGGCCGGTTCCTGGGGAATCGGCCAACTAGTTCGTAGGATAACTCCTCAACCGATAGCCAATATCAAGTCAACTACCCCCCAATACGGGGAAGTGGTGAGACTGACTACCAGTTGCCTGTATAGTAATGTGAGAGGGCTAAGAGGCAAAATAGCTGAACTTAGACACCTACAATCACAACTGAACTCCAAAATCATAATACTGACGGAAACCTGGCTAACCCCTACGGTGGCAGACAGCGAAGTCAGTATAAATGATATGGTCCTAGTCAGGCGAGATAGGGACCTGAAAGAAGGAGGTGGAGTCGCCATATACGTCGACAAACAGCTCAGATGTGTTCACGCGATGGACCCTCCCCTCACAGAGCTCCCTGACTCCATATGGTGCCACTTCACCGTTGGGTACTGCAAATATCTAGTGGGCAGCATTTATCGATCACCTTCATGTGGAGCAGACCACAACCAGGTACTGCTAAATACAATCTCAGCAACTCAAGACATGGGTTATGATCAAATTGTCATAGCTGGTGACTTCAATGCCCCATCTCTTAACTTGGTGTCGGGAAAAGCCCATGATAGATTTGATCGAAATCTGCTGCATACCATCAGGAAGGCTGGATTCACTGAAAATGTCAAGATGGATACTAGATGGGGCCCTGATGGGAAGTCTTCTAGACTGGATTACGTGCTCACTAGTGACCAGCTACTAGTGGAAAACGTTCAGATCACGACTCCCATAGGTAGTAGTGACCACGCGGTCATAGTATTCGACATAGTCCTCCGCGAGCGCTTACAGTGGGACAATACACAGCCCTATCTGTGTTATAACAAAGCCAACTACACCAAAATGCGAAGACTTCTGTCTGAAGCAAATTGGCCTAAAAAATGGACAGAGCTAACAGTAGAAGAACACTGGAGAGTGGTAAAGGAAATCATTCACCAGGCGGTCTCAGACACTGTTCCTTTAGTCTCACCAAAAGCTAGGAAGCAACGATCATGGCTGAAAAGAGGGACACAACGCCTTCTGCAGGCAAAGCGAAAAGCCTGGTTCGCGTGGCGACGATCGAAGAGTCAACCCGAATATGAAGTGTACCTTGAACTCAGGAATCGATGTAACATACGAGTCCGGAGCGATAGAAGGACATTTCAGGGAGACCTCGCCAATAAGCTTCTCGTGAACCCCAAAAGCCTATACAGGTTTATGGCCGAAAGAAAACCGACCAACCAGGGAGCATGCAATCTAGTGGGTTCTGATGGGAAATCTCTTACTAGTCTTGAAATGGCAGAGACATTCAGCCTAGCCTTTCACAGGCAACTAAACAGTAACGAGGATATTACCCCTACAGAACATCCAGATTACATCGCAAACCAACACACGAAAACCTGCTGGGTACATTTCAAATTACCCCGGCTATGGTACTTGCAAAATTGGGAAGGTTGGCTTCGGGAAAGTCTTCAGGTTGTGATGGCATCAGACCATCTGTCCTGAAGCAGTGTTCAGAAAGTCTCTGCCCCCCTAAGTGATCTGTTCCAACACTCCCTTGATGTAGGGAAACTTCCATGTGAATGGAAACGTGCAATCCTATCCCCTATCTTCAAGGGTGGTGACCGGCAGAATGTGACCAGTTACAGACCAGTTGCTCTACTTCCAGTGATATCGAAGATATTGGAAAGTCTCATTGACGACCACATGAGAAAATACTTCGATGGGACTAACCTCCTTCACGAAGCACAGCCCGGTTTCAGGAGGGGAAGATCCTGCGTGACGAAACTTCGACACAGTTCACCATGGTTTGCTCCTTCACAAAATAGGCAAGGCGGGAGTTTCTGGAGCACTTCTCGCATGGCTGAAAGATTACTTAGGCGAGAGAGAATTCTGCACCAAAGTCAACCGCATCCGATCATCCTGGCACACCTCGGCATCAGGGGTTCCTCAGGGTTCTATCCTAGGGCCGTTGATGTTTTTGATTTTTATCAACGACCTGCCCTCCCAACTAAACTGCTCTGCGCTTCTTTACACTGACGACGTAAAGATTTGGAGAGCAATAAACTCATCGGAAGACTCAGACAGATTGCAGGCGGACCTGCAAACTCTGGGAAATTGGGCTTTGGCTAACGGAATGCCTTTCAATCTAAAGAAGTGCAAAGTAGTGCAGCTTCATTCCGGCAGGTCACAGAGTGTAAATTACACCCTTGGTGGTCAGAACTTGAGTTGTGTTCCATCAGAGCGTGATCTAGGTCTTATTCTAACAGAAAAGCTAGACACCAGTGGAAATTACTCGAGGGACGTCGCCAAAGCCTACGCAACATTACACTTTATGCACAGGCAGCTGGGAGCTCTCACTCCCGAACTGTTCTTAAGGTTATATAAGGCATATGTGAGGCCACACCTTGAGGTGCATAATATCATTGCACCTCCGCTACTCAAAAGGGATGCTAACACTCTAGAAAGTGTCCAGAGACGAGCGACAAAATGGGTGATCGGCCTCCGCAACAAATCATGTGAGGAAAGACTAAAGAAATTAGGTCTTTTCACACTCAGTTACCGTAGGCACAGGGGAGACCTCATCACCGTCTACAAGATCCTAAATGACTAGGCCCACCCAAATAAAAGCATCCTGCCATTAAGCGATTATAGGCTTCCACGAGGTAACCCGCTAAGGATAGCACACCAGAGACCAATGACTCGAGTGCGATCACATTTCTTTTCGCTTCGTGTTTGCCGTCTCTGGAACGCTTTACCGGCGGCAGTGACTACAGCGCCATCTGTGGAGATTTTTAAGCGGAAGCTAGGCAATCATGCAGAAATGCAAGGTTTGTGTCTCAATGGCTTATCCTCATAAAATTTGAAACCAAACTGTCAATGAATAAGCGTACAAACTAAACCCCCACGACCTATTCTGCCTTCTCTCACTCTATCTTTTCCTTAGGTCACCTTTATTATTCCACTTATCTCAACCTATATTATCTACACTACAACCCATTATTTTTATTCTTATTATTATTATTACTATTCTGCTTTTATGACTACACCGAATGACCAAGGGGAGTTAGGTCAAACTCCATTCACGGCAGCAATACAGTCCTAACATACTGCATACTACAAACCACATCTCGACCAATCCCCGCACCACTCCTCCTGGAGTCTACCAGAGCTAAAGCAGTCGAGTGTCGGGACTTACTACGCAGAAGCTCACCGAAGATCTGGAACCTCTACCTCACAATCAAGAAGCGAGCTCAAAGAAATCACTGGTTTATACTAGCTCGTAACCAGGATATAGGATATTGGATATTGGATTGGATATTGGATAATCACCCAAACAAAGGTGTTCTGCCATTGAGTAGGTATAGGCTGCCACGTGGAAATCCCAGAAGGATAGCTCACCAGAGGGCAAGGACCCTGGTGCGCTCCCACTTCTTTTCACTGCGGGTTTGTCGTCCCTGGAATTCCTTACCGGCAGATGTAGCTATGGCACCGTCTTTGGACGCCTTTAAGCGAAGGCTGGACAACCATGCAGCGATACAAGGACTGCATCCAAATGGCCTATCTCCTTAAAATCGCATTTACCAATCAGGGTAGATAATTAAACTCGTCACTTTACTTCTTTACATTCTCTCCCGTCTTACTCTCCTGACAACTTATTAATATTATAATTACTATTATTACTATTACTATTACCGATATATATATATACTATTCTTCAAACTTAATGAGCTGACTGTTGTTACGTTCCCTATTTTCGTTTCTGTCTCTTAGTCTGAATAGCTTCACTAATTATATCTATTACTATTATTATTACTATTATTATTATTATCTCTCTTCTCTTGTCGACAATACCGAGGGACTAACTGGCGAAAGGATCAACTCCAATCACAGTAGTAACAGTCTTAACATGCCTCATACTACAAACCACATATAATTAATCCCAGCACTACTCCCTTTGGAGTCAACCAAAGCTACGACAGTCGAGTGGCGGGACAAGCTACGCAGAAGTTTACCGAAGATCAAGAACCTATACCTCACAATCAAGAAGCGAGCACAAAGAAATCAAATTGGTTTATACTAGCTCGTAAAAACGATATTGGATATTGGATATTGGATGTCCTTGCGGTGCGTGATAAATAATCACGTGCTCTTTTAATCTTAGGTTATGAAGTTGATTAGGAGTTTTGTATGTTTACTATTCAATATTTTGATGAATTTATAGAAAAAGCGATCCTGTGCTATTGAAGCAACAAATGTAGGAGATGTGGTGCGAAAAACAAGAGTAAAACACGTAAGTGCGAACTATTTGCTCACAGTTACTTTGTAGCGCCAAATGGCAGATATATCTACTCAAATAAATAATCTACTCGTTCGTAATAAGCGTAAGTATTCAGTTTGTGTATTGAATGTTTATGCTGTAATATTTGAAGTACTTTTGCGTAAGGAGTAAATTTTTGATAGCATATTTCAGTTGATATATATCTTCCTTAGAATGTGACTAATTCACCAATATTTAAACGAAAAAGACATAATAAGAGTATTCTCACAAGTGACAACTGATTATATGCAGTGGTGGAATGAAATGTGATCCGTTGAATGAGGTAATTAATTCACTAACCTTTTCCTAGTTGGACGAGAATGAGCGAATAAACGTTAAAGTGGAAAAGCAGTGCTTAATTTATGGAAAACTTTGGTTCAGGATGTCAGAATATTGGTTAAATTGTCCTCAAATAATAGCTGAAATGATAAAATCTGTTATATATAACAAAAATTCACCCATTTTACTTAATATCAGCCACATTCATTATTCACCCGTCTTGTACCACTTTTGCCCAACTGGGTAAGGTGGACATTTAACTTGATAGCTAGAAAATTTATTTGTTAACCTGAGTATGGAGGGTGAAATGCCGGTAGAATCGCGTTCATAATTGGGTCAAGTGAATAATAGTGGGATTTGTTTGGAGATGGTGTGGTTGATGTATACATAGTCCACACAATTTTTTACTAACTCTTTTGAAATAAGCCAGCTGGTGAAACTATATTTGTAAAACGGTGTTAGAATTTCTAACGACAGTGAGAAGTATTTCAGAAGAGCCTTTTGTATTGAAATGGAATATTTTGAATTATTTTTCACGTTCAAATCTTATGGAGATATTTACTGCACAGAAAGTTGGTTAGTAAACACACTGTATCTGAACTATATGCAAAGGATGTGAGGTAACAGTGGATCATGCGGCATTAGCTTACTAATACAAGATTTCAACTAAACTTGTACGATACTACATGCCGCTGATCGACTAACATGATTAGTTGGACACCACTTACATCTCAGGGAAAATATGGCGACATTTCATATCAGACTGTCTAAATTCCATTCAGCTTAACGTGTGCTTATCTGAATCATGCAGCAGACATAACCTGTAGGACTAAATATTCAATATGAAATGAGAATGAATTAATTTACTGTGCAAAATTGTCAAGTGGAAAAATTCTTTGATGGCTACCAGTTAGTCACTTTGTTCCAGCTCAGACAAACTGAGTTTCCAGTATCTCTGTCAGAATGTGAATTGTATGCATTATCTGCAGCAAATGGCTTCTTTCATTCCTTCACGTTCCCATTGAAACATAGGGCTTCAAGCTAGATGCTTGAAGTTTCTGTAGCAGTGTTTACTTCTACAGGATGGGGTTATTAGCCTCATGCACAACCTACTCTCCTTACCAGTCCTTTTAATGGCCTAGCGTGATTAAGGAGTGCGTCTGCCGGAGGTCAACCCCGGAGCAAATGCGTGGTCGGCAAGCATTCTGCCGATGTGCCACCGATGTTTGCAGCAAATGGTAGTATCCTAATTATGTACAAACATGTGTAGTCACTGCTATGTAGTATGCATGCTATTTAGTTCGAATACAGTGTTGTCTATTCCGAGAAGAGGGTATGAACTTGAAAATCACTCTTTACTTTATAAAGGACCTAAACTAGTGAGTATGTATCGCGGAAATCAAATGAGTCGAATAATCTGCTGATACATTTCTGGCAAAACTATGTTTGAATAAAAAGAAGAAATAGAAAGCTCGCATTCCATATGCACTCTTCCGGTTCACTCGTGTGTCTGAGTTATGAGTTGTTTTTAGAATAAGTATCTTTTGATAAACTTTCATTATTAAACTGCAAACAGTGTGCCGTAATTTTGTTCACATCTACATATCATAGTACTGTTTAACAAATACGTCAACCGAAGCTTCGTAATAACATGGAAGCTATTGTACGAGAAGTTGTACTTTTAATCCAAATATCTGTAAAATAAAATGTACAGGGAAAGACTGCAAATCTCTTCTGCCTGCATCTAAAATAAGAATGATATTGCGTAAGATGGACTTATATTTGTGAGTTGATCGATGGAATCTCTATCAAACTGTTCTCGAACATCCCAAAATTTCTCGGTATGACGTTATTCACAAACGCTAACAATGGTCAAAATTGACATATATCCAGGTAGTCTGGTCAATAAGTTAGGCGTAAATGTTGTTAGTGTTTTTCTCCTTCTTATTTATTTATTACATGATTTCATCATGAGCTGACATTAGTTAGGGAACCATTGGAAAACCAGCTGGGAGAACTGGACAGCTGCTTCGTTTGAGTTTGGGACTCTTCATCAGTACGAACCCACCGGGATTCGAACCCAGGAAAGTCTGGTTACAAGGCGAGCTCGTATACCATTCAGCCGCTACTGAGAACCGATCCAATGGCCCATGAATTCCAACTTCTGGCAATTCACGAAATAGCGCGACCCGTAGCCAATGTCTTCGGCTAGTATTTGTCCTGTACTGTCCGGTACTTCCGGGTTTTCCAATGGTTCTCTAACTAATGTCAGCTCATGATGAAATCCTGTAACCAATCAAGTCCCTACAAACCAGAACTTGAATATTTATTTATTGCCATTTACCGGGCCAATACCACACCATCGTGCCTATTAAAACTATTTTGGATTTAGCCAAAAATTTACGGCCTCTTCAGTCAGCCTTTTGTTTTATGACCTGAAATCCTTTTTACACAACACAGACAACATCAAAATAACTTTACTGTCTGTTCCTATCAAGTGAAATGCAATCGCTATTATGTTTCCGTATTTCTTTATATCCGCTTAGTGTTTTGCAACAGAACCCTGTCTCTATTTACTTTTTTATGACTGTGTTCAACTTACTGACGTTTCCTCCTTACTGTATTTGATACACACGGTTATGCTGGTTTTCCTCAGTTATTATACGAATGACCGGTTCACCGACTTAAGGACTTCACTTTCAAGTGATGGGTTCTACATCCAAATCTGATATCACCTACCTTGTCCTGAGTCGCTGGGTTGTATCACTGGTCATTATACAACATGTGTGACTCATAGACTTGTACATGGAAAGTCTGTGTCGGGTAATTGAGTTATAACCATTTTATTTTTAACTCACCCTTACTGTTACTGAATGCATGATGTTTATTTAACAAAGTACACTTTGTTTTGTTCTCTTTATTAATTCTTTCTATCTCTTGCCAAGTTTATCAGAGACAAGGAATAAACAGATAGTGTTAGATCATCGTGAAAACTTCATTAGAAACTTGCCAAAATCACTATTCAAATCAAGAGTATACTGGATAAAATTCAGCTCATTGGTTTTGCATTCCTTCTGTGTAGCAAGTCGCTTAACTCTCTTTATCATATCCCAGTGTATTGTTACTTTTGTGATTAAAGGTTGTAGTAAATTACAAACAGTGTCTGTTTAAATGTGTTGATTTTCTCAGAATATTCATCTTCGGTTAATGGTCTTTTTGTCATTCACTCCTGAGTAATCTAGGAATTTCAATTTATGCAGACTAAGCGCAATGTTTTAAGAAAGAGGGAGAGAGAGATAGAGCAGAGTTTTCAAAATGAAAATGTTCACCTAGAGTACTGCATTAAATGATTACCAACTCACATAAGGCAAGAAAGACAGTCCCATCAGTACACCTTTCTCTCACAACTTCATGAACAGATTAGTCACTACGAGAACAAGCATAAGCCTCATTTTTGTATCCTTTGTTGGAGGATGGAAATTTCTGTATACAGATATTGTTGAACGTACATGTGATTCCAAAGACATATTAGTTTCATCTACATCTCGTGGACAAAGTGTATTTGTGGCATACACTTTACTAGATTCTGAGTTGTTGAGATACCCAAAGATAATAGTGAACGAGGGATACACCTAATGGAACTCTGGCAATCCCTAACATCTTCAAAGGTTCAAAATGTTTTGGAGATGATGCGAACCCCAGTGACTGTATGATTGTTATTTTAATGACCATGACATTTAGTTATTCGTAGCCTTTAGTTTATCTGTTTGGGTTGGTGACTTTATTATACTAGTTTCTTTGGACTTCAGTCCTTTTCTTAAACTCCGAAAGGTACGAAATTGGGACTCGTCAGGTGGATGTGTCTACATTCCTCAGTGAGAGATGCTATTCCCATTGAGATGCGAATTCATTAGCCAACAATTAAGACTTCGAAACACACTCTGCTGGACCACTTACGTCGCGGTAACCACCTCTTGGGTAAATAGTACCAGTTGTTACTTGCAGGTACATCTAACTGGCGATTTTGCTGAATGGGGAAGAAAATTTTCTTTATGACGATTCATTTTCATGAACTGGTGTACAATCGTAATTATATAAAACAAAGAAATCGTAAGACCAATCAGATACTGGTAAAATTTGTCCTCGAAAAAGGTATTACGCAATGTGAGGTGTAATCTAGAAGGGATGACTAATCGGAAGTTAGAAAAGAGGCAGAAGTTGGCATGAGATAATACGTGTGAGATAACGACTAATCAATAAGCTCGTGTAGAATGGACAGGAACTAGTGGAAAGGCGATAAAGTGTTTGTTTATATAAAATCTGTACGAAAAGGCAATGTTATTAATAGACATCAATAAAGTGATAATAAAATATGGATGATGGGAATAATACTGATAATAAAATAATAGTAGTAATAACAACGATAATAATAGTAAGCTTACACAATAAAAAAGAAGCAAAATTAAAGTAATAACTTTTCTCTGGCCACAGTAGGGCGAGTGAATGTATGTATCGCTTTGGAATGCAGAGGTCTGATATTCAGATCCCGAATGGCTAATGCTTCAGCTTTGTACAGATAGCGTATCCGAAGTCCCTTTGTACGATATTGGGGGACTCTGTGTAACACTGTGAAGCATTCATGTGGGGACGTCCAATGTCCAGAGATGACAAGGTGCTCGAGGATGGAGCTGCTGCCATTCTTCTTTCCCTCTATGGCTAACCAAGCTGGACAGTGTTCCAGAATAAGTTTGTGGACTTGACGTTGCATAAGGTCGATACAATTTGCTCCATAAACATGGGCAAGTAAATTGATAAATACACGTTGCAGTGGCCAAAAGCGGTATCTTATCCTTAACGTTAGATTGGATTAACTGTCTACTCAAGAATGTGATGCGTAAGACGGCTATTTGAAATGTCTTCTACAGACATTTACAAAAGCCGGTTTCTAAGAATATCTGCTGCGATGTCACCTTTGAATTCCAGGTTCACGAAGAGAGTTTTCTCAGGAACATTTGTGATTTTTGGCAACGTAGGCTTCTCTTTCATGTTTTTGTCTATGATCTTGGTGTATACCCGTTCTCCAGTGGGCTTTCACGTAATAAACTTAATTCTATCTCTGTTTTGTCTTCCTAACAGACTTTTTTAGTCCTTGAACTTAATGTACTTACCAGATTTCGCTTTTGGATCAGTGGACATAGCTCTGGAAGTTTATAAGCTGTCATGTCCTAAATGAAACAAGATGCACATCCCAGACTCAACAGTTAGCCACCATTCAATAAATTACACCATGTTAATCCTCAAAAAGCCTGAAGAGTACGTATTACGAGTCACAATATCAACAGAATTCGAATGTTTCAGTCCTATGTAACCAATCAAAGTGAAAACCAATACTAACTTAAACAAAGAAGTTCATTAATATTAAAAGTTTTTACCAAAAAGCAAAAGTATACCACTGATTTTGTTAAACATCGTTGCTTATTATTATTTATACCTTTCTGTTTTTAATTTCTTACCTTAGAATCAACAGATTCAATTAGTGAAGTATTAAGATCACTGCTCCAGTATCTTAATTCAGATGCAATATATTGTAGTATGATATTTCCTTTAACTCGTGTAAGTTGAAATCAATAAAATCAATAATGATTTAAAAAATGATGCTTAAACAGGCCAATCTGTCTGAGTGCAGTTTTTCCATAAATTTAAAATGAATTTTTGAACTTATTTCAGAGTCTAAGGAAAACGGGTTTATTGTTTTCCCGCTTAGTTCATATATAAATCCACACAAACATACACAGACGCACTAATAAGCCCTGTCCTAACTATAAAAACGAGTGTTATTTTCTAAAATGGTATTGATTTTCATGTTATTATTATTATCCCGTTGGATTCCGAATGGAACATAAGGCTACAATTGCACGCCTCCATTTCATACTTGCTCCATGATTGCTCAAAGCCCCCGGTACCCCCTTGCACGATCTCCTCCATGTTACCCTTGGACGCCTAACTCATTGTTTCCTATTCGGATTCCAACGGAAATATTGCCTCATGCATAATCACTCAATGGTCTTCTTAGTGTGTATCCAATCTATTTGCATTTTCTTTGGCATATTTTTTGGGAGGTAAACAGGTTTCTGGTTGGTTCGTTCCCAGATTTCGTGGTCCCAAACCTGAGGACAGAAGGAAGGAAAGTTGAGCTTGGGACTTACGACGTCACTACAGGAAAAACAGTCCAGTGTCTACAGAATATTTACAGAAGAGCGAAAATGTAAAAAAACAACACAGTGGTTTGCATAACATTGGATTAATTTTAAAAGTATCAGAGACTTGGAGCGTCATAAAGAGCACCTCAATCAAACTACACACCTTCATCAACAGCTGTATTCGCTCAATACTACTCAAGATCAGATGGTCAGTCAGAAAAGATCAGGAACAGGGATCTCTAGCAATGAGCGAACCAACCAACGATGAACCGATTGTGCAACAAATAAGAAGGAAGAAATGGAGATGGATCGGCCATACTCTGAGGAAACAAACCATCAAGTGACATCACACGACAGGCTATCGCTCGAGTGGGACCCAAAAGGGAAGCGGCGAGTTGGTTGTCAATGCAAGGGTGACTTGGAGGAGGTCATGTGAAGAGGAGATGAAGGCATGTTGGCAGACGTGGAAGCAGGTGAAGACTAGTAGAGAACCGAACGCACTGGAGACGTTGGGCTGAAGCCCTATGTTCCTCTAGGAATTAAAGGAAATAATCATAACAATTGTCATTAACCTAGTTCAGTTAAGAAAAAACTTATAAAACAATCAGTATTCGATAAATTGTTTCACTCCAGTCTTGGGAATATTTATGGAGAATCGACTGGTGTTTAGGTACAAGTTTCAGTTATTGGCATATTTTGTAGACTAATGACATTATGAGATTGATGATTTGGAGGTTCAGTACTCATCCAAATTTGTTCAGTAGTGTAACGTATTCAAATTCAAATTATCTGGAAAATTCTACTACCCCAACGATGACAAATAGGAGAAGACAAAGAAAACCATAAAACTCAAGTTTCGAGTTGTGTGATTACAAGTGATATGATTATGATCGATGATAAATTGTGTTCGAAACGTTGTCATCCAGTAAATAATACTGTTTGACTAACTGTGTGATACATCTAATAAACAAACTAATATGGAATTACTCGATAGATATCTTAAACAGATACCTCAGTCACCTAGGAAAGGTTTACTCATCTGTGATGAAGTCAACTAGTCCAATAATTATATGTCTATAAACAAATATTGGTTCTTGTAAAGATTTGCACTATTTTTTAAGTTAATTTTCTCTTTTTCTTCTTATTTTATTTTTATTTGACGAAAAGGATTTAGAAAATGCTCATTTCGAATTGACCGATACACTAAATAAATTGTTGCCAGAGTCGATATTTAAACAAATGGCAAAATATAAACACTTAGAGGTCAGTATATACATTCAAATATATATATATATATCATTTACTTATGTCATTGTATATTATTTTGTTCTGTTTATTGTAATTATACATTTTTAATTTTTATTTATTATTTCCTTTAATTCCTAGAGGAACATAGGGCTTCAGCCCAACGTCTCCAGTGCGTTCGGTTCTCTACTAGTCTTCACCTGCTTCCACGTCTGCCAACATGCCTTCATCTCCTCTTCACATGACCTCCTCCAAGTCACCCTTGCATTGACAACCAACTCGCCGCTTCCCTTTTGGGTCCCACTCGAGCGATAGCCTGTCGTGTGATGTCACTTGATGGTTTGTTTCCTCAGAGTATGGCCGATCCATCTCCATTTCTTCCTTCTTATTTGTTGCACAATCGGTTCATCGTTGGTTGGTTCGCTCATTGCTAGAGATCCCTGTTCCTGATCTTTTCTGACTGGCCATCTGATCTTGAGTAGTATTGAGCGAATACAGCTGTTGATGAAGGTGTGTAGTTTGTTTGAGGTGCTCTTCATGACTTGGCGTCAATTCTCTTATCCGTATATTAGTACTGACTTCACATTGGAGTTATAAATCCGGATCTTATTTTCATTTTCATCCTGAGTATGCTGTTGATCTCCACACAGACTTGAGAGTAATGAAAGCTTATGACAATTATTCAGGTGTAGGATATTTTCACTGAGTGTATGAACACGCTTGTATCACAATTTAGTGTCAGTCTAGCAGGCGGAAAATAATTTTCAATTAAAGTAACCGTAGAGACAAGTGAAATTTTAAACACACAACTATAAAAAGTCCAAAAACGTAAAGATAACTTTAAGTGATTGGAACAGATTTTTATTTATGTTGAGTAAAGTGAGAAAGTATTACTGATTGTGTCCTTATCAATACATTAGCAATCTGTGTGAATAGTATTACCACTTGTTGAAAGTAAGATTTTCTCACTTTGTGACATGCAGTCAATTCTATAAACTTTTGGTATTACATTCTTATATTTTTCCAGTCATTGATATTTTAGAAACTCGTCTATAAGGCCCATTGAAAATTGTAGCGAAAGGATTAAACGTCTAGTGGTTCATCATTTGTTATTCACAATTAACTAATTCACAACAGTTTAGAAGTCAAGTTTATAGGGACTCTGTTAAATTTAAGATAAATGCCTAACAATGTCGTTGGTGCTTTACAGTCAACTGACGAGGTTTAAAGACCATGAACTAGTGAATCTCAACTCGGCGACTGAGTTATAACGTATCCACATCCTAACGTAACCATCTTGGATTATATTCTTAATGAGGCATTGGATTTCTTTGCCTAGCTATTCTAAACTAAACCAAGACACATATTCCGTGCTCTGGGTACGTTTCATGACAAAAATGACATTTTAACAACATTTTTCGTTCAAAAATTTACCCTGAAATACGAAAAAACCTTGAAGTTATTTACATTTCAGAGTGCACACATAATAATTTTCAAGTATTGGTGTTTGTAGAGATTTTGTTTGATTGGTTGGAAGATTTCATCATGAGTTGATATGAATTAGAGAACCATTGAAAAACCTACAAGCACTAGACAGCTGTTTCACTCCAACCTATTTTAGGACTGATCAGCAGTACACACCCGCCACCACGGTTCGAACCCAGCACCTTCTACTTACAAGGCAACCTAGCTCGTAGACCATTAAGCCATTGAGACTCTATCCAATGGCCAGCCACCCCATGAATTCTAACCTGCTAATTCACGACATAGCGCGACCACTATGCAAAGTCTTCTTCAATGACTTACTGCCTCACCTTCAACCAGCTGGCAGGAGTTAGAATTCATGAGCTGGCCAAGTGACTTTATGGTCTACTAGCTAGCTCGCACAGTGGTTAGGACTCTCGCCGACCATGCATATGGTCCGAGGTTCGATCCCCTGCCGACGCACACCTGATATCTATGGTCGGCCTGCAAAATTTGGGCCACCGATATCCATGCTGAAAATTCCATACTTGTACCAAAAATACAGTGTGGAATCAAGCTGTAATCAAAAATATAAAAAAAATAATAAAAGAAATAAAAATACTTGGTTCGAACCGTGGCGGTGGGTGTGTACTGCTGATTAGTCCCAAACTAGGATGGATGAAATAGTTGTCCAGTACTCTCAGCTGGTCTACCAGTGGTTCTCTAACTTATGTCAGCTCATGATGAAATCCTCCGACCAATGTAAACATATTACCTGAGATAATACAGAAATCATTTAGTCTGATTAGCCTACAACTAGGCATTGAAATCCATCACTTCGTGTTATTACATTAACAAACAACATACACAAAAAAAACCTATTTATCATAACGCAGTTCTATGTGTCAGAACGCCTAAACAAAAGTGAATCATAATGAACAAAATACACTGACAGATAGACTACTAATTTTACTTTTTGGAAAAAATGGAGAAAATAAGTAATAAAAGTGTGCGAAGATTTTTTTTTAAAAATGATGACAGCTTTAAAGGTGATTTTGTGATTATTAATGTGGGTAATCGGTAGTAAATCTTTGAAAGTTGTCATGAATGTGAGCATTTTTATTCGCGAAACGTTAGACATTTCAGAAGGATTGATTAGCTTGGTATAACAGTCTAAGCTCAACAAAGTGAAGATCACGTTGCCAGAAAGAATTAGAAACATGAAACTCTAGGTGGCAACAAACCATCTAAGAGACGATTGCTCAAAAAATATGTAGAAGAAAATGGGGATGGATCGGGCATACGCTACTGAGGAGGCCGTTGAATGACATCACACGTAATGTGTGCCACCACTCGAGTGGAATCCGAATGTGAAGTGATGAGTGGGTCGTCAGCAAGAGGGTGAAATGGAGGAGATCGTGTAGCGAGGAGGAGATAATGAGAGATTATGCGCAGTCGTGGACTCAGATGAAGACGACGCCAGAAAATAGAACAAAGTGTAGATGTATTGATCGGACACTAGTCAGTAACTAGTGTGACGTATCTAGTCCTTTCTTTGGTGCAGACTGAATTCAATCAGTCAGGCTTGCAATGTGGCCATCATTTTAGGTAGTTCGCCATCACAGTGCACATTGATCTCATGATATTAAATATATATATGTTTATATACATATAATATTCTAGAATAGTCGTCATTAACAATACTTCTGTTTTTTGAATAATATCGATTTGTTAAGTAAGATCAATGGAATTACAATTCACTGAAGATGCATAAAAATTATAATAAGCATAGAAATATAATAGCAAATAGAATATCAAATGAAATTAAGGAAATTTCCACAACAAATTGAGAATCATTAAAACCTTGATGGCCAACGGGTAAGGACAGTGTCTGAACCAACCAACTTCTTTTGGATACAAAAGTTAGGTTTCTTATTATTGATCCTAACAGCCTCAGAAATATACAGTAGACGAACTCTTAAGGTGAAGTTAAGTTTCATTGGTATGCGGTGGCACAGTGGTTAGGACTCTCGCCGACCATGCATATGGTCCGAGGTTCGATCCCCTGCCGACGCACACCTGATATCTATGGTCGGCCTGCAAAATTTGGGCCACCGATATCCATGCTGAAAATGACATACTTGTACCAAAAATACAGTGTGGAATCAAGCTGTAATCAAATATAAAAAAAAAATAAAAATAAAATAGATGAATTTGAAAGCTGGCTCGTTGACATCAATCTTGTGTTCTGTATTCACAGGACGAGATAGAATAGCGTTATGCGAATGGATTTTGTTTGTCCTTTACTTAACCACTTTTCAGGGTGATGTTCAAAAATCCTACGATAACTGTACGGCCTATGTAACTTGCTCACTCCACAAGAACAGTCGAATTGGTAGTTACATACACAGACGAGGCGAAGCTAGACAATTTATTTTATACTCCCGAACGTGAAATAGGGATGGTTTTGAAGACATAGCATTATTATGCAAAGCTGAATGCTCTTTTTACCTCTTTCTTAAGGAGCTTTTTAACATCTTATAATGACAAAGGTGAAACTGAAAAGAGTTGATAACTTTTTTTTAACTTTCTATGAAAATTTACAAGGCCAAGAGAATAATAAAAACAAAAATTAAGTGATATTTAGGTATTGGTTTGTAGGGATTTGATGGATTGGTTACAGGATTTTATCATGATATGACATCGGCTAAAAACCATTAAAAAACCATCTGGGAGTAATAGAAATCTGTTTTGTCCGATTTTGCGGCTCTTCATCAGTACGCATCCATCGGGGTTCGAACCCAGGATTTTCTGGTCACGAGGTGAGCTAGCTTGTAGACCATTAAGCCACTGGGACCCTATCTAATGGTTAGCCCAAGGATTCTAACTTCTGTCAGTTCACGACATACCGTGACCGCTAATCAATGTCTTCGTCGAGTATTTGTTATCACACCCGACCTGCTGCATCCTGCTGGTCAAGACTTCCCATTAGAACCCCAGGTAACTGCTACCTACCTGAATAAGGCTAGTTTCCAGTAAGCATCTCATTGATATTCAAGTATTGGTTTGACGGGAATTGATTGATTGGTTACAGGATCTCATCATGAAGCTGAAGATTCACAAACTCGGACGAAACAGGTATCCAGTACTCCCAGTTTTTTCTCCAGTGTTTCTCTAACCACTGTCAGTTCATGATGAAATCCTCTGACGAAAAATTAAGTGATTTCTCTATATCATAAATAAAAGAGCACAGACCAATGACTTCCTGTACAGAAGTTAGTCACTAACAATAACGATAACTGACTTTTCTGAGCTGACGGTATATGAAGACTTAAGAATAGCTTGTCGAAGAATTCAAAGCTAAGGTTAAACGGATATCTAGTAGTATTTTTTCAAATTTTAAACGATATTTAAATAAGTTCAAAATATTCATCAACCTTATTCAACAGCTGTACAACAACGGCTCATGTCAAGTGGCCCACAACGGAAAACTCAGCGAGGCGTTTGGAGTAAACACAGGAGTCAGACAAGGGTGCTTATTATCACCAATGATATTCTTAATTGTGGTGGACTGGTTATGCGTCAGACAGTGGGTGGGAAACGAGAAGACAGGGACATCCTGGACCGACGTGAAGAACCTAGAAGACCTGGATTTCGCGCTTGGATGATTTATATTTGATGTCACACAAAATCGAAGACTTACAAGCGAAAACCAACAAACTGGTGAAAGAAGCAGCCGGCGAAGACAGGACTCCAAGTGAACGTAGACAAGACGGAGGTGATGAAAATAACCAACCAACAACAACAACAGCAGCAACATCCAGCGTCAATCACCATCAACGGGAGGGATTTGAAAGAGATACCTTCATTCACTTATCTAGGGAGCATTGTCTCAACTACAGTCAGTTGGAACGGACGAGGATATCAAACCGAGCGAGAATCGGGAAGGCGAGAAACACATTCACTCATCAGCCAACTAAAACCAATCTGGAAATCTTCGTCACTTGACATCAACAACAAAACTCAGATCTTCAATTCAAACGTCAAGTCAGCTCTTCTTTACGGATGAGAAACTTGGCGGGCAGGTCACAAAGAATATTTCCACCAGCAGCCTGTTGCAGACCTTTATCAACAACTGTCTTCGCTGGCTCCATACTGAAGATCAGATGGCAGGGCCGGAAAGAATCACTACCAACAAGAAACTATGGCTTTGAAAAAACAAAACAAGAACCAATCGCCAACCAACAAATATGCAGGAGAAAGTGATGATGGATTTGACACTCGCGGCTGAGGAGGCCGCTGGGTGACATCGCAGGCGCGTCAGGCCATTGCTCGAGTGGAACCCGAAAGGGAAGCGGCGAGTGGGACGTCAGTGCAATGGTGACATGGAGGTGATCATGTGAAGAGGAGTCGGAACAGTATAGACTAAGATGGATGCAGGTGAAAATTACAGGAGAAGGAAGACGGAAGCAAGTGGAGACGTGCAGTTGAAGCCCTATGTTCCACTAGGAACCCAAGGGAACAATAATATTAATAAATAAGTTCAAATGTTAGTGTTTAGATCGAATCAATTCCAATCATTCCACACGGTTGTTAACGGATATATCAGTAAATATTTCGCATTTTTGTTTGCATTAAACAAAAGGTGACTTAGTTATTTTTAAAAATCTGCGCAATTTATTTTTATTTAGCCTCAATTAAAAGAATGGGAATCGTCAGCTCAGCGTGTAACTCGACAGAAACGTAACCTTGATCAAAGTTGTAATCGAAGTCGAAACACCGTTAAAATTGAGAAAGTAAGAAAGTTTATTTTATTTTGTCATTTTTTATAATATTAATAATAATTCATATTTCTTATGAACGGGTAATTTTACATGAAATGCATGCCATTTTTACACGCACGATCAGTAATGCTATAAATTACAATCCTGAAGTATCATAAATTAAAACTTTTTCAAAAGTTTCAATTATTCAATTATTGTACAAGCAATCAGAACAGGTCCTTATAAATATTCAATTGTAAACCGTTTACTAAAGTCGGTCACTATCAAAGTTGAGCGATAACCAAAACTTCGTTCCCTTTCCTGCTGATAATTATGGTCAACCAGTAGTGAACAGCGTAAATCTGGATGAGTACTATGCCGCCACATGATTGAACGCTATTCAAGGAAGAGAAGAAAATTCTGCACAGCTGCAAAATGGTATAAAATGCAACTATGAATAATGCATAATTAGAAGTATATTTACAAGATAAATACAAGAAGAAGAAGAAGCTGTATAGTACTTGAAATGAAAGTATACATTTGCAAAGTTTAATGCTTAATACATTGGTATAAGCATGGAAACTATGATTTTTTCGATGAAGATATAGCTTTGTTCAAACATTGGTGTTGTTTATATTTTTAATCATAGTAACCAGACTTTGGGCAAGCAACAAATATGAACGAAGAGCAAGTTTCAGCTTTATTAATGGTCACGGTATTTAACGTAAAGTAGAGTATAACAGTGCGTAAATAACAAGATTATTGTGAGGTAGGTAAGTGAGACTTTAAAGTGAGGAGTGTAAACAACGATCTGGAAAATTAGAACCCGTAGGACAAGCTGGCCTGTAAGATGTCTCACGAATTTCTGTAGGGCCCAGTGAGTAGCATCTTGACAAGAAGCTGAACAGGCTTGTAGATGGTGGGAGCAAAAGCACATTTTCATTCTTTTCCGAGTTGTTCACGGATTGATATCAGTTAGAGAACCATTGAAAACCAGCCACAAGGAGTACTGGACAGCTGTCTCATCCGTCCTAGTTTGAGAATCATCGGAAGTACGCACCCACTGCCAGGGTGAGAACCCAAGACCTTCCGGTTACAAGGCAAGCTCGTACACCATTCAGCCACTGGGACCCGATTTAATGGCTCATGAATTCTAACTTCTACCAATTCGTGATTTAGCGCGACCCCAACCATTGTCGTTGGTGGGACATCCATCCTCACACATGACTTCTAATTGGATCTCAGTGGTCACGACATCTCACTGTAACTCCAGGAGACTCTATCCTGTAGCAAGTCATTAGCGAGCATCAGATTAACTTTGGTTTTTAAGGGTTAGTTGTATGTTTTCCGAGTTAATCACGGAATGACATCAGTTAGAGAACCATTGAAAACCAGGAAGTACTGGACAGCTGTTTCATCCTAGTTTGGGAATCATTGGGGAGTACGCATTCACTGGGATTCGAACCCAGAACTTTCCGGTTACAAGGCAACCTCGTGTAATTTAGATCTATACAACCCTTATTATTTTTTTTGTTGAGGGTCCAGACTAATGTTTTGATTCTCGAGCTGTCAAAAAATGTATGTTGCTGTCCTACAGATCAGAGCGATTCACATTTGTGAACACTACTATATCTGCTGATCAGTATGAAGAAGTTTTGACTGTAGAAGACTTCGTAGACTGATATTGTCGTTGAGAGATATATGAACTCATGTAAGAAATTAGAAAAAAAAGTGACTTTGTTGGGCTTTGAACAGGCCGATTGTATGAAATATCCCTTTTTTGTCTGAATTGACACCATCTATCAACTTTTTCCGTTGGGTATCATCAAATTTCAATATAAACAGGCGAATAAACACTGTGAAGAAATCAGTATCGAGTGACATTTTCTGATAAAATACAGCAAATGTAAAACAGTTCAAGATTATAATGTACGTCAGCAAAAAATTTTTGTTTCTCATAAAAAATTCATTTTAAAAGTATATAAAAAATATAACTTGTCATAAAACCACCATAGCAACAGGCTGAGACGCTACAATTAGCGGGGGTATGCAATGAAGCCACCTCTCTGGATATCATATATATTCATTAAATTTCTTCTTGTACCTTCTCATCTGAGATAAGAAAGAAGACACGCCAAAACGATTAATCTTAACTTTAACGATATTTCTAATTAGACGCTAGTCAGTAACTAGTGTGATGTGATGTGTCTAGTCTTATTTTTGGTGCAGACCGATTTCTATCAGTCAGGTTTGCAATGAAGCCAACATTCTAGGTACCTTGCCACCTAACTGATAGAATTCACTCTCCACAAACACCAAGGCCTAGACACATTTCACTAGTTACCAGCCGGTGTCCAGTCAAAGTATCCAAACACTCCTGCAGGAGGTCGATCTCGAGCCCTAATAGCTTAGTGGGAACGTCTCTGATTGCAGAACTCACTGGGTAACGCCGGTTCGAATCTTCTCAGAAGGGATATGAGTCACTTCAATGTGGCAGACACTCGTGCCTTGCTGGTGAGTGTCAACTAGCACGAATCGAGGTCAGGCTGGGCTTCCTGTAGCCGACTGCCTGCAAACAATTAATACCAAGGAAACCTAATGAGACGTTATTTGGAACGCAATTTATTTGAAGAGAAACGTTTTAATTATGAGATTATGAACTCTAATAGATAAATGGCTCTTTCCATTCTGCCTATTACTAATGCAGTGTCAACATTATTCGTATTCTTAAGTTATCTTCATTATTATTTTTAATGCTAACATAAATTTCTGTAAATATTTCTCCCCCTAACTATATGATGAGAAGAGAACATTGACTAGCAGTATGGTACCAGAAGCTTAGAATCCCACACTTTATCCAAAATATCTTTTAAACTGCGGTCATTATCATTGTAGTCAGGAGTTGATAAAAGTATAAAACTTGGGCATTGTGGAAGACTATAACTGTGGTGAGAGCAGCCTGCTAGCCAATTGGTTGATATTAATCTACGTCAATGTCTAGGTCACTAATATGGGCCGTGAGAAAATATGAACAAGGCTATTTCAACAACCAATCACAGCAAACTTAAACGTGGGCAAATATGATTCGCAGATAGATGGCTCCACTTTCCGAGGAACTCGAAAACAACCAATCAGGAGACTGCGTTTGTCTACTTGACTAGGCTATAATAATATATGTGAAATTTATATAAATACGTGTTGATTTCCGTAATAAAACGATCTGTTGCCTGGCCCTTGTCTTCTGTTGTTACATAACTACATTGTGGATAAGATTTTATTTTGATAAATCACACAATGGTGTTATACAGTGATATTACCTGATGACCACGTTTCCAGCACAAATTATTCCTGCTCATAATCATATCAAGACACTACTCACACAACTTATTTCCTTCATTTATATACATGTGTGGAATCGATTAGATATTGGAATAAAATCAGTATAGGATAGACTACATTCAGAAGTGATAATAATATGAGTGTTATTTATCAATTGCAATCAGATGGGAAATAAAACGAGTGTTTTTATAGTCATAACAACTAACTTGTTAGAATGTTGTGATGTGCTTGAATTGAAATACAATCTTCAGATTACTTATTATCTTCCTCTGATTTGACTGACTGACTGGTGGTAATAATATCTTCCATGCATATCTCTGGTATTCGCATTGAGTCATTTCAGTTGCATATGTTGTGTTGGGTGTAGACTTAATGAACCAGGCAGGATTCAGTAATCAATCTCTCTCTCTCTCCACTTACATAGATTACTTCTTAGAATCTTAACTCTCTCCCACCATGCTACTGTGTGGTTGTGTGTTAATGCGTGAAGTGGAATGTAGTGCTGAGCTTTTTTCTAAATTACTCATCTGCCTTCTTGGGGTCAACCATTCTAACCTTAGCCACTAAATTCTTATGTTCCGATAATCTGATTACTCCTGATCTACTAGTCATACTCCCGATCACAGTCATTGCAAGGTATTTTGTAAATTATATTATTTTGTTTAATTTGATCAATCTACAGCATCCTTCAGCCTACAGAGCTTGTCTCTGAGTAAGTTTGTAGGTTTGAATGTCAGTCTAATTCCTGCTTTATTAAGAATACTGCGTAGGGTCTTAGATGTCCCCTCCTTATATGGCATAAGAGTAGATGACTTATATTCTCTTTTATTTATGTAATAACTACTAGTTTATTTTTTCTTTTTTTGCTTTTGGTCTTTTTCGATCTTTCTAATGAATTTTATAGGATAGGCATTGGTGTTAAATAACACCAGCAATTGCACTACATGCATTAACACACAACCACACAATTGGATGGTTTTCAATAATGACATTCATAGACATCTCGTTGATACCGGTTATGAGGTGAACACTGTGAAACCTTTTAAAATTATCAGCAGATAAAATAATTCATTTGTCCTCAAGTTTACAGAAGAGATGACTATCAAACAAGTGAAACTCGATTTGTGCGTTCAAAAAGAAAAGCATTTATCAGTCTTTTCTTACTCTGGTAACCGAATGCCTTAATTCTCTTGACTTTGACTAATTCTATTAATGACAGTAATTAGGAGAACAGAAAAGCATACTACTGCACTGAAGCAACCCATCACCATTTCCAGTGCAATCATGAATAACTGTTGATAAAATCAATATATATTACAAAGAAACCAAAAGAGATGAAGGTAAATAATTCCAGGTGAAAAAATATAAAAACATCGATGGAAGTATAGAATATCATCATTAGAATTAATCACGAAATATACACATTGGGCCATAGGAGTTATATAGAAACAATTAGTAATTCTTTGCCTGTTCTATAATGTAAATTCACAATTTCAATAGATTTCTCATTGAATAAACATTTAATCTTAAAAATCTCCTTTGAGTCATATGAAAAAAGAGAGAAGACATTCAGCGAAGAGACTGTTTTCGCCGCCGAATTCATTCACATAGCTGTAAAATCGAATTTATGTACAATTATTTGTGTACATGTGTGTGTACATGACGTTTGTCAAGTTTAGATAATTAATTAGGTAATGATCAAGAATGATCTAATATAGAAACAAGGTTGAATTAGATACCAACTAAAGTAAGATTGAGTTAGTAAATTAGATAACGTAGTATAAGTGAATAAAATGTTTCAACCTAGGTCAGGATAGCAACAGATGCAATTACAGGTAGAGACTAAGTAGAAATGGGGTAGAGAATAATGCCATTTAAATTAGGACTTGAATTGAGCAAACAAATTGGATGACGTAACATAAATGGCTGTAAATGGAGCGTTGGTCAAGTCAGTAACAGTGGTAGTGAGGTGTAGAAATTAAACGGGGTGGGGGTAGTGAACAGGAAAGTTGAAGATGTAAAATATTACAATTGAGATGACAGAAGAGAAGAAAGATTAGGTAGATTTTACCTGTCGAGTAATAAGCTGGATTACATCCATTGCAAGTGTAGTGATTGAACGAACTTCTTGTGTATGCAGAGTTCATTACTTAGAAAGTTAGTCACTATTGCTTCTGCAGTTTGAAGAAGTCTGACTCGTACACCTTTAGGAAGACTACTTTGTATTCTCTAGATAACTTTGAAGTTTTTTTGGGATGTAGCTTGGTGTCCGGAATCTATCATCATCATCATCATTACAAAGGGTTTAATGAAAGATGAAGTCACTTGTTGTTGTTGTCGTCGTGGTGGTGGTGGTGATGGTGGTTGCCTCAAAACAGAAAATTTTCACTGATGTTTTCTTTCACTCAGTGTCGCTTCATCTTGAAAGCTCAAAATCTCTGGGGTTTTCTTTTTGGATAGATAACATTGCTTAATCTTTGTTGATTTTTATTTTCGTCTTATCGTTGTTGTTGTTTTTACCTTGTATAACAGGCACATATTAATTACAGAGCATCTTCAATGAATCATGATTATTTAACTAATTATTTATTGGATACAATGAATACACTTGAAAATGAGTAAGTTCAGTTTGCTTTTACATTTCTTTTTAATAACAGTAACAATTATCATTAGTAGTGGGATTTGATGGATTGGTTACAGGATTTCATCACGAGATGACATTGGTAAGAGGACCATTGGAAAATCAGCTGGCAGTAATAGATATCTGTTTTGTCCGCGTTTGTGACTCTTCAAGAGTACGCATCCATCGCCAGTGTTCAAACCCAGGAACTTCTGGTCACGAAGTGACCTAGCCTTTCCTGACTCAAGCTTGTTCTGATTGATCGAGGTAGTTCTGCCTCCAGTGCATTCTTCATTCTCTCCATGATGATGGGACATATTGTTTTACTTGTAGTGTACAAGAGCACTATTCCACACCAGTTCTTGCAGAATGAGTTTGACTCCACCCTTCTTTGGCAGCTTGATGAGGTGGCCAGCCTTTCTCCAATCGGTAGGTACCATCCTTTCCTTCCAACCCCTTGCAATAATGGCGTGAGCATATCTGCTGCAGTCCCTGAGTCCGTTTCCAGTGTTTCGGGAGGAATTGCGTACGGCCCTGCTGCTTTCCCAGCAGTGCTTCTGTATAGTTTGATCGCATTTAGAATTCTGCTTTCGTCGGAGGATTAGTATCCACTGAGAGTCAATCTCTGCATCCTGTTAGTAGTAGTGGTATTTCTCGGCGAGCTGAAGGTGATGGTCGACCCAGGAGTGTTTTTGAAGTGATCAGCTCATCGGTTTATTCATTTCTCCTCCTTGATAATCAGGTTCCCTTAAACATCTTTCGTTGGTTGTATTGTATTTAACGTTAATTAAAAAATCTGAAAAATATAAATAAATTTTTAAACTTTATATGATTCCTGAGGGAATTTAAAACTCTCAAATGCTTCATTATAAAATAGGACAATTTGAAAAATTTAACGAAATTCTAACCCATTTAGCCAAATCAGTCTGTGATCCGGTCATTATTTGGTTGGTCATTCAGGTTAACATCACTCCCCTTTTTTTCATAATTAATAGCACTAATCACCAATTATCAAAGTTTGTATTTGAATGCTATGACTACTATACGCAGTTAATCTAATATATGGTTTACAAGACACAAAATAATCCAACTCCAAAATATCCTTTCTTGATGTCCAACCAACAAGACGAGAACAGGATGGAACACTGAAAAGATCTATCTGCAGAAAGTCGACGTGGAACGAACAGCTTACTAACTTTCACACTTGGCTACCCCTAAACACCAAACGAAACCTGATCCGTTCACTCAGATACAGAGTTCGCAGAATTTTCACCCCGGACACCATAGAAGATGAACTGGACAATCTCAAGAGAATCCTCGTCGAGAATTGTTATCCAGAACGACGTAATGCAAAATCTATGAATCCTAGACCACAAAAGCCGCGTATGCTTAGCGTCCCGAAAAAACTACTCTACATGGACCTTCAATTCGCATTCACTTAAGAAGATCTTCTTCACAGCTGAATTACGATTAGCCTTCTCTACAAAACCTGTGATTCGCATGAACGTGACGGATTAGCTACCACTACTGGCCTCATCAGTGTGTATTTACCAGTTCACCTGCTCATGTGGAGCTAGGTATGTCGGCCATACCCAGCGTTCGCTTTCCAAACGTATCACCGAACACTTACCGAAATGGTTTTACAAAGAAGAAAAACAATGCCCCTGTAGCTCTATCTAAGAACATCTGTTAGACTCCAGACAACAAGCTACACCCCCAAACAAACTTCAAAGACGTCTACAAAATACGAAGTCATCTGCCTAAAGGTGTACGAATCAGACTTCTTCAAACTGCAGAAGCAATGGCGATTCACTTGCTAAATCCTGAACTGTGCATACAGAAGAAGTTCATTCAGTCATTACACTTGCAATTGACGTAATCTATCTTATTATCCGACAAGTAAATTCTACCTAATCTTTTTTCTCTTCTGTCCCTTCATTCGTATTATTTTGTCTTCTCAGTTGTAATATTTTACATCTTCAACTTTCCTGTTCACTACCCCCATCCGATTTAATTTCTACACCTCACTACCACTGTTACTGACTTGACCAACGCTCCATTTACAGCCATTTATGTTACGTCATCCAATTTGTTTGCTCAATTCAAGTCCTAATTTAAATGGCATTATTCTCTACCCCATTTCTACTTAGTCTCTACCTGTAATTGCATCTGTTGCTATCCTGACCTAGATTGAAACATTTTAGTCACTTATACTACGTTATCTAATTTACTAACTCAATCTTACTTTAGTTGGTATCTAATTCAACTTGTTTCTATATTAGATCATTCTTGATCATTACCTGATCAATTATCTAAACTTGACAAATCTCATGTACACACACGCACACAAATAATTGTACATAAATTCGAATGAATTCGGCGGCGTAAACAGTCTCTTCGCTGAACGTCTTCTCTCTTTTTTCATATGACCCAATGGGGATTTTCAAGCTATATGAAATAATTTACGACAGCCTCCGTTGTCAAACAGACAACTAAAGAAAAGGTGGAGAGTTTAAGCCAACAGCTACTTCTTTTCTTGAAACTGCCGAATATGAGAAATTCAGATTTTCTGCTAGGATGATATATTTATGTATATTCAATGCAGACGTTTCAAAATTTTCACTGCTAGCAGATTTGACTCCAGGTATTAAAATCCAGATAACATTAACCAAAATAGGATTGTAATCTTTCTTCTCAAAGGATAAAATCTCTCTTTTCATACACCAAAGTGTTACACAATTTTAGTCTACAGGAGACTGCAAACTTAATAAGCAGCACTCAGAAATTACACCTATGTAACATCATAGATGGCACAGAAATACAGACCAAGTCGGAAATTAAATATCTTGGCGTCATTCTGTCTGCTGATCTCTCCTGATCGTCTCATATCTTGATGATTTGTAAGGGAATATTCCGTCTTACCTTCTACATCAAGAAGTTAAGTCATTCTGGAACAAGCCAATCCTTACTCCTACGATTCATTAACTCTTGCATCCTGCCTATTATTCTCTATTCTTCCGCCTTAGTTTTTCCAGGGTTACTGTAGAAGGACTGTATCTTACTACGTAGGATGTTAAAGGTTGTCAGTAGGGTAAGCAACGTGCCACTTAACCAGCTTGTTAATATTCTGGTCGACAGGCACTTGAACTCATGTGAAAAATGGGCTAATTTCATTCTATCTAACTCACACCACCCTCTTTATTCACAACTCTCCCCTTGTATCTCATCAGGCAGAACCAGAAGTCTATGTAGAAAACTATATGCTCGCACTAGCAAGAACAAAAACTCAATCATACCCTACTTGGCCGGTGATACCCATAACTTATTAAATAGTCAGTAGATTAACAGGATCTCATCTTTTCAACTCATAGCATTTATATGTACAACGTTTTCTTTCTTTCCTTTCCTTTTTTTGTTATGTGCTGCTTTGTTCCTCTCTTCCTTACAAACTCTATTTATAACATTCTTCTTCGTTCTATCACACTCTGTATATCTCGACCTTTTTGTTACCGCTCACGCCAGTAAATATGCTAGTAGTATCTACTTTTCTAACACCTTCAAACAATCTGTTCACTTTTGGCTTTGCTACCGACATGCCAATATGTTGCTGTCAAAATTAACTGAGACTATCCATAATCTGTGTAGAATTTTATTTATTGTTAGTGTACTAACTGGATGTAATACTTCAGTGAAATGCTGAGAAGAAAATTATTATTAATACACAGAGAGCTCAAATTTAAACAAAAATAACCGTTTCAAGACAATAGCAAAAAGTTTACGTAATAAATACACTAGGCGAATAGGATGATGGTACTTGATAAACTGAGTAGCAGTGTGCTGTAATCAGGTCATATCTTAGAAACAAGAGGCAGGCAGGCGGGCAGGCAAAATCACACTATATCCAACGGTTGAGTGAGACGTTGAAGCTAAATACGACGTAATCATCAAATGAAGGGAAAAGTAATTCATCCAACTGCTTGGGCGAACAACAACTGAAAACTGCTTCTTTCTAAAGATATAAATGAAGTTTCAGGACGTTTAGCAGTGAATACTTCAGCAAACTTGAGGAGAATGGAACAGTTTTAAGGATTTCATGATATCCAGCTCATGACCGGTATCGACGAGATGCTTGATGATGCCACTGTTATAAACTTGAACTTAATGGATATCAAATATTTTCTGAGCACTGTATATTAAATCTGCAGTCACTTGTCAATTGACATTAGGTAACATTTCCAAGTGTGTTAAAGTTGTTCTCTATACCAACTTCATAATTTATTTAGGCTGTACGCAGCTGATAAGAAGCTAGCGAAATAAATGACGGTACAACCCCTCATTTCTGCACAAACGGCGTCGTTGTTGCTGTATTCAAAATTTATTTTCACACAGCCAATTCCCTTAATTCGTTTAAGTAAGGAATGAACGAATATATTTGCAGGATTATACGGATCCTTTTAAATTCGTGGATTTTCTTCAACTGCTAACATCCATATATGTAAATTTATAAGGTTGAGTAGGTGTATCAACTGACTTCACAGTTAAAAACTGCTAAGTGCTACCACAAATAAGCAAATAGTATGGTTCGTTAAGTCACCATTGTATGACGGCGGTTGGAGGCAATCGGTCACAGGAAGCCTTGAACCTAGGTTTCGTGCTAGTTGGCACTCATCATCAAGGCGTATCTGCAACCTTGAAGGAAGTCATGTCCCTTCTGAAGAGATTCGAACCCGCATCACCCAGTGAACGCTGCAGTCAGAGACGTTACCACTGAGCTATTCAGGCTCTCAATTTACCTCCTGTAGGACTGTATTGGATATTTTTGGTTGGACACTAGTCAGCAACTAGTGTAATGTGTCTAGTCCTAACTTCCCTGCGGACTGAATTCTATCAGTCAAGCTTGGACCAAACCTTTAGGTCTGAGGCTTCCTGTGGCCGATTGCCTCCAACCACCTAATACCAACAATTCACAGTGCACCGTAATGGCGAGCCACCTAGTGGCATGGAGGCTACATTGCAAGCTTGACTGACAGAATTCAGTCTGCAGCAAAGATGGGACTAGACACATTACGCACTAGTTACTGACTAATGTCCAATCGAATCAAACCGTCGTTGTCTTTACTATTCTTTTATACATTATTTATAGTTTTTAGAAAAAAATAAATTGTCAAACTTGATTTAAATATCATGTTGTATAAATTTTGAAAATGGACTGTAATACTACTACTTCTACTACTAATTATTCACTCTCGCATTTTCTTTTGTTTTAAGAGGCACAATGGCCTGTTGTGATGCTTTATTTGTCCTTGTTTCAACATACAAACAATTTAGTGATAGAATATGTTCTGTGAGTTGTATTTGAAAATAAGCGCTAATGTTCATTTTTCAAGTTGTTATCACGTTTTATTTTTTCTTCATTTATTAATCATACACTTACTTCAATCTAATAACGATTAAAAAAGTGGTGATTGAAATGAAGCGATAAAAACTTGTAGCCTTGAATGATTTGATTAGATCAATACTGTACTAAGTTACCAATAGGATGTAATTATGGGTTGCATCATTTTGTCTATCAAATATACGAAGATAATATGAGTACTGGATTACATCGACTACTTCTAGCTTGAAGATACGGAGTGAAGTGGTGTTGAGTGTGAATGTTGACCACTTCACTTATTTGGCGAATTACATCGGCCCAACAAGTTGATCGATGACTAAATCTCAGAATGGATCCAAAAGGCTCGTGTGGGATTTGACAACCTGCAGGTACAGGCTCCTGCCAATCTTGTAACAGTACCTTGCATTTAGACAGCGCGAAGTACATAAGTATGGTATGTACTTTGCGCCGTCTAAGTGCAAAGTACTGTTACAAGATTGGCAGGAGCCAGTAACTGCACTCATTCCTGCGGGTGAACCGCTTGAAGTTGTTGATAAGTTTGTGTATCTGGGTAGTTGTGTGAGTGCTGGTGGAGGGGTGACGGATGAAGGCTAGGGTGGCATACATCAACTTAAGCTACCTATGGCGCCATCGCGACGTTAGCTTGCTTGTCAAAGCGTATACAATGCTTCGGTGCGGGCTGTCTTGCCCTACGCCTGTGAAACCTGGTCTCTCCGAGTGGGCTGAGGATGTGCGGTGAATCTGTGTATTCAATCATCACTGTCTCATCAGGATTGCTTGCGCTCGATCGCATCACCGCTTAAGTAATTCTGAGGTTTGGTGGCATGTGTTTGAACACAGTGGAGATCACCATTCATTGAGTGTCGTCATCTGCAAACACCGGCTCCAGTGGCTTGGAGGTGTGCTGCGAATACCATCCCAGAGACTTCCATACAGGTCTCTGTTCGCTGGCCAGCCCTGGGACGGGATGGAAAAGGCGGAGGGGTGGACAGTCCATTACGTGGCATCGTGGGCTAGATTAGCGTCGGTTGGTGCATCACGACTCCCTGGTTGTGGTCCGCGAGATAGCTCGAATCACCTGCCGGCGCACACCTGATATCTATGGTCGACCTGCGAAATTTGGGCTACCGATATCATCCACTGCAAATTCCATACCTGTACCAAAAAGTACGGTGTGGAATCAAGCTGCAATCAAAAATAAATCGATGGCTCGAAACGTTATCGGATATGGCCAAGAATCACAATCAGTGGTGAACATGTTGCGATTTCCTTCTTTTTTCCCTTCCCGATGACAGTTAACGAATACTGTTTGAACTTGTTAGGCATGACTGTTTTCCTTCCAGATGAAGTTCTTTATTCGTTCTCTACTTATATTTCTACTTTTAATTCATGCTGTTTTATTATTATTGTGTGGCGCATCTTTCTTGGTGCCATATTGTACCAAGTTTGCTTTCTGCGTTTAAATAATTAAATAATAATGACATGATATCGATCGGTTATCGGTTACAGGATGCGTGTGTTGCTCAGCATTTTGCTCCGTCCTCCTTTATGGCAGCGAGACATAGTCACTGAAAGCCAAAGTTATGAAAAGGTTAGCTGTCTTTGATCATAAATGACTGAGTTCTGTCTCTCATGTTTATTGGTGTAATGGGGAGGGTATTATTGAGGTTAGACGTTGAATGAATCAACTTAGATGGCTAGGAAGTGTTACTTATGCCTAGACATCGCTTTCCTTGACCGAAAAGCAGTATTAGTTGACATATTATCAGGTTGGAAAAGATCTAGTGGTGGTTAAAAGGAAACATGGCATCAGTCCATGAAATCTTTGATAGTTATTGCAAGCCACTTAAGGAAGTGTAGTCTCGCTGGCTGGTTGGAGTCCTTTGAATTTTAAAAGCCAATAGCTGAATAAATTGTTGATATAATCCGAAATTGTTTTTAGTATTGCAGATTCATTCACTTTTTGCAATCTTCATTTTCCATTAGCCCCCGCTTATCTATTTTTATTTTTTTATTTTTATTTATTTTTGATTTACAGCTTGATTCCACACTGTAGTTTTGGCACAGTATGGAATTTTCAGCATGGATATCGGTAGCCCAAATTTTGCAGGCCGACCATAGATATCAGGTATGCGCCGGCGTGGCTCGAACCCGGACCATGTGCATGGTTGGCGAAAGTCCTAACCACTGTGCCACCGACGCACACGTAATTATCCTTTCTCCCTCACATTTATGCTTAATATCGTTCTTTAAAATTCTTCCCCTTTCTTTTTTCTGCCTTTGTGTGATATATGCGGTGTGGTAAGCTGAACTACCGCACTGCCGTACTTAGTTCTATAATGAAACCAGTCAGACTCTAGGTCAGATGACAAATAAATTATACATTTAAAAACTCATGTGCATAGTTCTTGTATGATAGCTAGAGAAATCAAGTTGTGAATTTCAATAATGACTTTACAAACTGAAAGTTACACGAACTAACGAAAAGTCATAAATTATGTTACAGGTTTGAACACAAGCTGATATCAGTTAGAGAACCATGTGAAGATCATGGAGTACTTGACAGCTATCTCATCCTAGTTTGAGACAAATCAGTGGCACCCATTCACAATGGTCAGAACCCAGCACCGCCTTCCTCCAACTACAATGCTAGCTGATTGAACGTTGAGCCGATGGGACCTGACTCTCTGGGTTCTGCCATTTCTCCACGTATATAGCATAATCGCAGCTGGAACAAAACAATTGTTCAGTACTGCATGGTTTCCTAATGGTTCTCTAAATGATGTCATCTCATGACCAAACGTGTCACCAATCAAATCTTTGCAAACCAGAACTTGATAACAAAAATGATGTTGCCAGATATTCCAAAACTATAGTGAAATAAAGTAACCTGGGAATAAGAAATATAGTTCAATCACTTATTTAGCATTCGTTAAAAAAATAATAACAAATTATCTCTGGTCATTTGTTCAAGTTATTCCGCGATTCTGGATTAAGAAGAAACGAATCATTTATTGATCGAATCGCCACACTACGGATCATCATTGAACAAAGCTTGGAATGGCAGTTACCTCTCTATCTCAACTTCATCGACTTTGAAAAGACCTTCGACAGCGTCGATCGAGAGGTGATTTGGCAACTACTTTGCTACTACGGGGCGCGACTGACAATTATACATCTCATCCAACAGTTGTACGACAATGCTGCATGCCAAGTAATCCACAACGGGAAACTTACGGAATACTTCGAAGTGAAGACGGGAGTAAGACAAGCTGCCTGCCTACTACCGCCAATGGTTTTCCAGATTGCAGTAGATTGGATAATGTGATAGACAGTGAGATGCGAGGAAATATGCATAAAATGAACTCACACAAAAACTTGGAGGATCTGGACTTCGCTGATGATATATTTCTGATTTCCCACAAACTGAAAGACATGCAAGTGAAGAGCAACAAGTTGTCAGAAGAAGCATCCAGAGAAGATAGGCCTTCAGGTGAACATAAAGAAAACAGAGGTGATGAAGATTCCTGGTCAACAGCAACAGCAACAACAACAACAACAAAAACATCAGACAACAATCAGCCAGCATAAATTAGAGGAACCTGAAAGAAATAACATCCTTTTCCTGCTGATCTGGGAAGCATCGTTTCAACCACAGGCGGATGAAACTGACGAGGATATCAAAGCAAGGATAGGGAAAACAAGACTCTCAAGTCTGTATGGAGGTCAACGGCATTCAGCATGAAAAATAACATTCGGATTTTCAACTCCAATGAGAAGTCATTGCTACTATACGGATCAGAGACTTGGCGCGTCATATAGGGCACCTCAAACAAACTACAGACCTTCATTAACAGCTGTCTTCGCTCAACACTACTCAAGATCAGATGGCCGACCAGAAAGTAGCAGCAATAGTGTTCTCTGGGAACAAACCAACCTAGCAGGAACCGATTGTGCGACAATTATGCATGCAGGAAGAAACGGGGGTGGATTGGCCATACTCTAAGAAAACCATCAAGTGAGTGACATCACACCACAGACCATCGCTCGAGTGGAACCCGAAACGGGAGCGACGAGTTGGTCGTCAATGCGAGGGTGACTTGGAGGAGGTCATGTGAAGAGAAGATGAAAGCATGTGGGCAGACTTGGAGCCAGGTGAAAACTTAAGCAGAGAACCTAACGCAGTAGAGACGCTAGGCTGAAGCCCTATGTTCCTCTAGGAATTAAAGGAAATAATAATAATTTCGCGATTCCCGCTGATGGTTTTTTATTGAGCCGAAATGCAGGGTTTTTGTCGACACAACAGTTCCTAGCACGGTCGATTCGGTATTGTCTGAAGATTGACATTCGACTAGTGATCTTTAGTCGTAGAATCAAGAATTTGTGTTTCAGCTTGTTGTTGGCTTAGATGGATATATAACTGTATCCCTAATAAGTGATGGTGTTATTATTATTAATTTTTTTATTTTTTTATTTTTACAATATTGAATTCTATCTTATCGAATTTCACGCCGTATTATGTAACATTTTCAATTCGCCTACTAATCCTATAATTAGGCACTCCTTTCCAAAATTTATACATCTTATGTATTATTCTATACATACGACATTAATTATTTGGCCACTTGACATTAAGCTATGATTATAATCACGAACATTTTAGTTTTAATTGTATTTCATACTATTATTATTATTTCATGCATTCACACCTTTGACTAAATTCCCTCACCAGATATCATTTCTTAAAAAAGAACCCATATATATACGATAGTACAGCTTGATAATGAATTTGTTGAAAAGAGTCTCTTCGCTGAATATTGTCTTCTTAATTTCTTTCTAGGCTACCATCTGGTGTTCTTTTTCTGTTTAGGGATTCCTCTTCGTATTATTTTGCATTTTCAGTGATACTTCAAGTTTAAGCTTTTAAGCAGCTGTGTTTATCCTCAAGG